TTTTAACTATATTATTAGATGATTAGAAAATTATTCATTTTTTTCAAAATTTCTTAATACAACACTTATATAGAAGCAAATTGCTATTATATTATAATGATTTGTAAATAGAGCAACTTATAATTAGTCAAAGATTAGTATGCTATTTTAAGAATCAGTTCTTAAAAACATTATTAGATATAAAAAAAGATCAAATAATGTGATTACAAGGCACTTAATTAACTGCAATAATACATGAATTTAAATATAAAAAAACTGGTTTCAAAAACTATAAGTTATTTAATGTTATCAAAATTCTAAATAGGTCATATATACTAATTCATTCTTCTAAAAAGAGTGTGCAATTTGCAAATTATAAAAGTTTTTATTTAATTAATATTCTTAGAATAATAATGTTCAGAAATATTTTATTTATATAGATGTAAAAAAAATAGATTATAATATAATTTATTATAATTAATTTTTATTTTATTTTATTTTTATTTTTTATTTTTTTTATTTCTTTGACAGCCTTGTTGAAGCTTTAATACAAAATTTTATTAACTGAAACATTATCTATTTCTAGTAATCTACCTTTTGAAATTGCAAGCCCATCATCATTCAAGTACAGAAACTGCACCTAAATGCAACTCATATACCAATCTATTTTTAGATTAGAAAACTTTGTTAGCTCTGTCAAGAACTGAACCAGAATGAATTATTTTCATTTTGTATTATTTTATCAACCCCTTATATAAACAACTACCTATGCTCTATCTCACTTTGTTTTTTTTTTATTTTAACTTTATTTGCTAATACTTTTTTACTTTTAACTTTCTTTGTACTGCATTTTTCATTTTTAACTGCCTTGACTCTTCTTTGTTTTAATTTCAGTGTTATTCTATTCTCTTTCTCCTATTTGACTACTGTTCTACACCTTTACCAAATTTCTTCTCTGAACATCTTTTCTACAATCTTAATATATAATTTAATACGCTGCTTTACACTTTTATATAAAACTTGTTTAGCATACAACTTCTTAAACACACTCTCAACTGTTAAGCCATATATGCATATTTCTCTATGTTTAATTTTATCTATTTCAGTTTTATCACTAATGTTCTTTTTAGATCAATTCTTGTAAGCTTGCTCTTGTCTAACTTGTTAAACTTTTTCTATACTAACCAATATGCTAACTCTTCAATATTATTCTAATAATCCTCATATTTTTTACAGCTAAGCACATGTCTTAATGATTCTTTCTCTGTCTTGTACTCTTTATATACATCTAACTTATACAAGTCTAATGTTCTTTTCTTTAATACATTAAGTACTGGTAAACTATTAGTAATATACTTAATTTTAAATAAGATTTTCTTACTCTCTTCTAAAGATTTATACTTATTTTCTTTAACTTTCTGTTTTCCTTCTACAGCTGTCTCTAATATTATTGTGCTTCTGCATCTAATTTTAACTCTTTTATTGCATTTAAGCATCACTACTCAGCATCATTTATTATATTTGTTAATATATTGACAAACTTTCTCATTAGTATCTCTACTACTGATTTTTTTCAAAATAATGCATATAGAAAACTTAAATTTTTTCAAGTTTCAAGTTTGTATTCTCACTCTTTATATATCCTTTTTTGCAAGTTTATTGGCTCTCTCATTTTATATTACTCTACTATGTGCTTTAAGTTTAACTAATATTAATCTTATATTCTTTAACTTGCATATTTCTTTAATCTTTGTAACTAATCTAAAGTTCTTACTCTTATCCTACACTTTAATATTACATAGTGGTTCCACACTTTTCAGACTTGCAATTGCTGCTGCACTATCTAATTTAATGACTACCTTACTATTACATGCTACACTAATACTACCATCTACATTGCAGCTAATTCTGCCTTTGTAGATAATAGCTATTTTGTTACTCTAATTCTTTCTTCTATTATTAATCTATTCTCATCTTTACTAACCTGTATCCAACTTGCACTCATTTTGCACTTCTTTCTCTCTTTTACTAATAACCTATCTGTATAAAAGTTGTAGTTTATACATTCTACTTTCATGTTTTTTTTCTATTGCTCCAATAGCAAGGTTTTTAAGCTACTATTAAATTCTTGCATCTTTATCAAACTAATCTCATGTGTATATATTCTTATTTCTTTATTTATAACTTTTTTTTTATTATTGAAACTATCTTTTATATGGCTCTTTTTATATTTATTAATTTTTTCTAACAAAACTAAAATTTTCTGTTTGTTCTTTTGTCTTATTTCTGGCAGCATACTAGCTATTTCTTTTTTTAATCCAATGCTAACAACTGCTTATACTATTTCTATTATCTAAATTGCACTTTTTACATTCTACAAGCACTGTAATAATTTTTATCTTTAATCTTAGATGTATTCTAGTAATTTATAAGTACATCTTTTTTTCTTTTTTTAACTACTTTGTTTATGCCTATTATTGAATCTATATTTTTTTTATTTAGTAGCATCCATTTATGCCTTCTCTTATCTTGTGTTAGCTTTATGTAGATTACATTGACATGGTGTTTGTGCCTTGTGTTTGAAATTCTGCTCAGACTGTTCTATCATCTTGATTACTTAACATTTTCTTTTTAATTTTTGCAAACCACTTTGCTTTTCATCCTTTTTGTATACTTGTTTATAATACTTTAAACTTCTTTCATGCAATCATTTTCTTGCTATCTTGATTAATTAACTGTTGTATAAAAAATATTTTATACTTCATCAACCTTCTACATGCCATTTTAAATATTTCTTTTTCTATCAAACTATGTATAGTTTTTACTTATATTGTAAACCTGCCAAAGACTACCTTCTGCATTTACCATTACACCTATTTTATTTGCTTTAAGTATAACTAGATATTCCAAATTATTTTTTCAAATTCTCTTTAAGTTACTTACCAAAGCTGTATCTAATTCTTTTGATATTAATTCTGCCAAAGCAAAGTTTTGTTTTATTTGTATTCTTGTTATTTTACCAATCTGATCTAACTTATTTAGTTTTCTTTGCACTGATACTAACTGATTATTAAATATTTCTTGACACAATATTTTACATCTTTCTAAACTTTAATGCATAATTGCACTATTTTCTGTAGTTGATAACAGACCTATTTTGTTTTTGATCAGCCTAATTACTAGTTGATATAAATGATTTAGCTGCCCTTTAGATGTCTTTATAATTTGCAATATATATATTAGTTTTGGTATTATATATATATTATTAATGTATATTAACTGACTAATAATTAACTTCTTAAACTGTAAGCTTTATATAAACTGTTGTATAATACTTTTCATTCTTTTAATAACTAAACTTTTATTTACTACTATACTTAACCACACTCTAGATTCTTGATAATGCATGCTTCTTTTTAATCTATAGTTAAAAATTATTTATTATAACAGACTTCTTCTTTTTTCTATATATGGTTAACTACCAACAGCTTTGACTTGGCATTATTGATTTGAATGTTATTAAATTTAAAGAACTTTTGTAAAATTTAAATGATTCTTGTATCTTTTTTCTGCTCTTTGTCTACTAGACTAGTTATGGCAGAAAAATGTTACAATTATATAATTAATGATCAGTTTTTGACCTGGCCTATCATTGATTAATTCAGATTTGTATTATAATAACTTTATATAGCAACTAATATTGATATTTGTAAGCAACAAATTTTTAATAATACATAAGTATATATTCAATAAGTTCTTATAAATCTTATACAACTAGCTTAAAAGAAAAGTATAAATAAATTTATATTAATTAAATAAATAAATTATAAATAATGTCTGTACAAAGTTATAAGTATATTATTAAAATATATATATTCTGAATATATATATGCATTTATTAAAACTGTTAGCAATACAAATATTATTATATGTACATCTTATGTTTTCTAGTTATTTATAAGTTCACAACCCTTATATTAAATTAATCTTTGTGCAATATTACTCTAAAACATATTTATATTATAAAGTAAATTGCAGCTAAACTAGAGTTTTTTATTTTATTATTTAAGACTGCATTTGTAATTTATAAAACTCAAGCATTGAATTGATTGTCATATATTACAACCAATATATAATAATGATTAATGAATAAAAAATGTCAAAGTAATGCATATGGCTATATAGAACACCATAATAATATATTTATAACAAGGTATTGCTGAAGTAAATTGCAGCAATACTAGAATTTTTTTATTTTTTATTTAAAACTGCAATTTAATTTATATAACTTAAGCATTGAATTAATTATATATTACAACTAAAATATTATAGTAATTAATAAATAAAAGATGTCAAAGTAATGCATGTGGCTAAGTAAAACACTATAATAATATATTTGTAACAAAGTATTGCTAAAATTCATATAGACATAATATTGTATAAATATAATTATTCATGACCATTTGATATTTTAGTTTTGCTCAAAAATATAATATAGCATAAGTTTTGTATATTTATGATAATTGAAAATAATTGACAAAAAAATTGCTAAATTGTAACATAGATTGCCACTATGTAATGTGACATTTCTATGCTACAGTCAACAATTTTTGCTATCAACTAATAATCGAAACATTAGCATTTAGATATGTGTAATAATTATTTATAGCATTTGAACACCTTTATTAAATAAGATTAGAAATATAAATACTAAGGAAGAATTCCAATTCTTTCTTATTATATGTTTTGCTTTTCTAACAATTATAGTATCATTATAATATATTAGTAATCTTAGAATTGCAATATTTATAAAATATAAAAATAAACATTAAAGCAAATACAAAAAAATAAACTAGAAAATAGATACTCAAAATATTATTGTTAATGCTGAAGAAAGCAAATATTGTTTCTATTATAAAAAAACTAAACCAGTTATTGAATTTAAAAGCAGTCTGGAAATAAGACAGTAATATTTGCCAGATATAATCTTTGCAATAAACAGGATAGAAAAAGTAGACAAAATGCTAAGTCATCATTGCTGTAAGTACTTCATCTTTAGTCCAAAGTCAGAAAATATCAGAGCTGTTATTGCTAAAAATACTTCACTATTGATTCTAAATTATGATGAAAGTAATAAAACTAAAATTAATAATGATAAAAATAATAAAGACAAACTTTTTATAATTTTGGTGATCTTGAAGAACTAGTGTCTGTTAATTTCAAAGATAGTAAAAAAAAAATAACTATGTTAAATTTTTTATAAAAAAAAAAATTAAAAGAGAATTAGTTAATTAAAATATATTATTACCTAAATTTGATCAAAATGAAGAAGCTAAAAAATTTTGTAAGATTATTAATATTATGATTATGCCTCTTCAAACAAAATCAAGGTATTATTAGAAGCTTTAATACTTATATATTAATAAAAAAAATGGACAATATATAGAATGTGCAATAGCCTATCTAGGTTGTACACAAAAGCTTAAATGTAAATATAAAAAACCAAATGAACAATCTGTGAAGCAGGTAAGCAAAGTGCATCCTGCTATTGAATGCTATTTATGTCATGACATTATAACAATCAAAATAGACCTATGTGAGTGGCATTCTAAAATATCAATAAAGCATTTAATTACCTATAAGCATTTCATATATAGAGAAAAAATTTACTAGCAAGTACTATAGTTTGGATAAAACAAAACATTAATTATAGCTTATAAAGAGCTGAGTTTTATAAAAGATTTTACGATAAAAATCTAATTGACTTATTAATTCATACTTACCAACAAGTTTATTATAAGGTGCATAAGCTTTCAGCAAAACTATATATATTTAATATAAGCAATCAAGTAAAGTTAGCAAAAAATTTCTTAAAACAAAAAGAGCTAGAAAGTGCAGAATACAAAGTTATTCAATATCAAGAGACTGATTTTGTATGCTCACTTGGATTTACAACTTCATTTCTTTAGAACTTGAAAAAAGATCAAATTAGTAAAATCATTATTGATTCGACATTCAAAATGAATCAAGAACAATTTAAACTATTTTTAATAAACATTAATTTTAGTAGGTATAGTGTTCTACTTATGTATTTATATATAAATACATATGCAGCATTAGAAGAACTTTTTTTGGATCCCAATAATATTATACACATCCAGTTTGATATGCTTAAAGAGTTTTTTGTTAATTTGCAAAGCAAAGAGGTTTTACTATTATACATGCTCTTGGACAAAAACTTCGGTAAAATTTCTGCTATTCAGAATGCATGTTTCTAGACATCAATAATCCAGCTTTGTCTTTGGTATATAAAATGTGCAATCAAATATAAACTAAATAAAAAAAATTCTGTAAAAGTTAGTATTCTGTACAAAAAGTGAATGAGGCATATCAACAATTCACCTTTATAGATCTGACCTAACTTCTGAATAAACAACAAAATGCTTTATATCCTAAAGAATTTATAACTAAAATATAAAAATAGTCAAAAGACATGCAATATTACATCTACTTATTCCAGTAAATAAAGATATTTTTCTAATAACAGAACAAATCTATTATCAAAGTATTTTAGAAACTTACCAATTTTGTTAGCAGAAGAACCTCTCTAAGCTATAGGGGTATATATAAGTAAAATGATACAACAAAAAGAACTAAATACTTTTGATTGAGCATCCTATTATAAAGCCATGCCAATAGTCAAAACTATCATAATTATTGAATTATATTGGCATGTTTTAAAATATGATTACAAGTACAATTGCAACTAACTATGTTATGACTGCCTAACTCAAATTCTTACAAAAGAATTAGTATCTAATATAGAATATACTTGATGAAGATACTGCTATAATCATAATCTTTCATCATAATAGAATTTATTTAAATATGATTAGAAAGCCACTTTAGAAAAAGATATTGATGCAGAAGACAGATATCATATTAATACAAATATTTGAGTTATTCATGTTTTGCTTTTATTAAAAGCTCTTATCTGATATGTAAGCATCTAATAAATAAATATACTATAGAAAATCCTGGCTTTTTTTCAGATTTTTTGTTATAAAAAGATAACATAATTATTTACTAATTGTATTTAGTGTATTAAACCTTTCAAGAATTAGCTTTAATAATAATCTATAGAATAATGCTTTTCAAAATAATAGTTTAGAGGCTAAAAAATAAAAAAAACACTTAATAGTAATATAAAAACTTTTATTTTAGCTTAACATGCAATCATCAAAAGTAGAAAAATAGAACTAATAAAAGATATGAAAGTATATGAAATGTTAGTAAAAAGTATGAACAAAAATATTAATAATAACAAACTTTTTGAAGTATACAAGACTTTAAAACAACCTCTTGTTACTAAAATACTTACCTGCACTGAAGCTTTAAATGCTAAAAAATAGCAACAAACAAGCATTATATTATTATATTGATATTCAACCAACATTATGATTTGTAGTCTAAAAAGAGAGATTTTTTCTATTTCAATATTATTAGTTTATTATTTTCTTATTTGTAGTTGCAAATACAATAAATGTTATTTATTTTTTTTTTTTAAGAGTAAGGCCTGGCCTCGGTCTTTATTGAATAATTTGGTATTATATTAATAAAAATGAGTTATATAAATTATTACATGAACCTATAGCTAGGACTAATTTATCCTCAGTCCAAACTCTACTAAAGTAGGCTGTCAGACATCTTCTAGGTTTAGTGTTGCACTGTAAAATGTAGATATGTTAGTAGTAGAAAAAATAGTTGTCCATTTTTTATATTTTGTTGTAGCTACTTGGTCTGTGGCTAGGTGTTCAGGAGTTGTGATTGTGAGTATATTTGTTAGATGTTATTTTGGTACACAGCTTTGCATCATCTATTCATATTTATTTGTAAATATTATTTGATATTTTATAAAATAGGATAAAAAGCATGTTCAAATTAATATTGCAAGTTGCAGATGGGTTGTTTGAAATTAATCCTTGCAAGCTAAGAAGATTGTATATGTTGTTTAATGTTTAAAAGAGTTGTTATAATAAGGTTAGTATATTTTGCAGTTCAATTTTGTTTTTAGTAAGAAATTTAGAGGTAGTTTGTTAAATTACTTGATCTAAAGATATAGAATTTGCTATACATTTGAGCCAGTGAAAGTTGTTTTCGATGTGCATAAAGCAATGATTGAAGATAGGATTGGTATATATTTTAGGTTTTCTGTAGTGTAGGTTTAATAAAGTTAATAACTTATTCAGTAAAAATTTAATTTTAAAACTTTTTAATCATGAGTGTTTGGAATGAGTAGTATGAGTATTAGGTTTGTTGTTATAGTTAAGAAATTTGTGTGTTGAGTCCCAGTTGGTATCTTCACAAATATCATTCCATTGTTTAGTTCTGTTGAGGGCATGCTATTTTGCTATATTTGTTGCATTTTTCAAGTATTTAATGAAATGATAGGTTTTGTTTTCTATTTATAATTGTTTTAGATAAGGTAAAAATTGTTATTGTCAAGTGCATAAGATTGAATGTGCAGTTTGTATTGTTGTATGTTGGTAGACAGATGAGTTATTCTATTATATAGAGAATGATTGTCAGGGTTCTCAATATAGATACCTTTAATTTTGGTACTTTTGCAAGCAATTATAGTCTGTAGTAGTAGTTTGAGTGGTATTAGTTGTGTTTTTGAAGAGTAAAAGTAGAATTTGGTGTTGATGCAAGAAGGGAGTTAATGTAGTTAATTGTTGGTTTGTGAGTCATATGAACTATTATTTGACAATTTTGTAAAGCTATCATTAGAATTGTTATAATTCCAATAAGGTATGCATGTGTTATAGAAGGCTACTATGTGATTTGAAATAAGAATATTATATTAGTTGGTGTAAGAGTCCAGGTGAATTGAGCCTATAACTGTGGTGTATTTTGCTTGAATTATAGTTGCATGAAGATATAGTTGGGGTTTTTTTGCCTATGAATTAATTGTTGTGAGGTGAGATAGTCATGTAATAGCAGTACTTGGTAGGAATATTTGTATAGCAAATTGGTTTGAGTTGTTGAAGTGGTAGGTAGTTGTGAGTTTTGGTAAGTAATTAAGGTAGTAGATAAGTATTAAGGTGAGGTTTTCTTTTTTAATTGTAAAAAAGACTGTGTTAAGTTTATAATGATGCTGTATTAGGTCATTGATATCTGTTCGAAAGACCTTGGAGCTAGATACTTTAATCATAATATACTGAGATGTAGTAAGTGTGATTATGCATTGCTGGCTGGTATTAGCAGTGCAGATATGTTTGCATTAGAGGTATTTAGTAAGTGATGCTTTGTGCTGTAGTTCAGGTAGTAGCATTCAATAATGTTTTATATATATTGTATTGTTTGTATTAGATATTTTTTGTATTTTTATATAATTAATATACTTTTAATTTTGCTAAGCACCTAGACACTTCTCTTAAGTGCTATAGAGTAAATGAGTTAGAAGTGATAGTAGAAATGTATAGTGTAGTAGTTGCATAAAAGGTATGTTGAAGTTTCTGAAACCACTTGAAAATTCTTCTTTTTGGTATTTTTGTGTTTTGTATGTAATATACTGCTATGAAAGAAGTTGTGTATTTGTGTGATTAGTAAGTTGTTTAATAGCAAAGATGTTTGCTTTGTTGGTTAGTGACTTGATTTGTGTTGGTTTAGTACAGTGTTTAATTAATGTATCAATTGAGGTGCCTTTGTATGTAGTTGGTATTGGCCAGGAATTAGGAAGGTTTTGAATGTTGATTCCAAGTTGGTGTGCAGTCTGATGGTTTGGGCTATAAGTGTATTATAAAACTTTGTAGGTAGTATATAACTTGGAGAATATAAAATGTTATTAGATAAAAGTGTTACTTGTTGAAGATGTTATAATAGAATTTTGATTGATAGGCTGTTAGTGGATTGTTTAGTTGTATATAAAGAGAAGAGATATGGTTCTGTGTTTGAATATCTGTTAAACTGCATAGGTTGTATATTTGGTGATGAAATATGATAGAGTTGGATATTGTTGAGGCCAGTTCAGCTTTGTGTTTTGCAACTTGTGTATATAAGTTAGTAATACTTTGAATGTTAGATTGGTAAACAAATGTGTTTAAAGTTCTGTATGAAAAGTAAAATATGAGTACAGTATTGATAATATAGATTGTTTGTTTTTCTATGATCTTTTTGTTTTTTATAGTACTGATAAGGTTGGTGGCCTTAGCAGTAATCTGATTATATATATGTTTGTAGTAGCTAAGTAATATAAACCAACAGCTCAGATAGCAAAAAGTATCTTTTAACAGAATAGTATGTATGATAATGTTGGCAAAATTGATTGTTGGGTTTAGATTCTTGGTCTGGTTCATTGTGAGAATTAATTTAGTAGGATTGACTATGATGTTGGCCATGTTGTAGAAGGACTCAGCAGTATTAACAATTTGTTGGAGAGTGTGTTTGTTAGAAGCAAACTATAGTGTATAATCTATATAGGCTAGTACTGATATATGATATATTAGATGTTGTGTGTAAGATAAAAGTGTCATTAATATATTATATTCTTGAAATTTAGAATAGATGTAAGTTATTAGAGGGTCATAGTATATATGCCAGAGAAGTAGTGTGATTGTTTCTTCTTGGTCTATGCCATCTTGTATATGATAGCTATATGTGAAACCAAAGTTTGTAATAACTGAGTTGTATTGGTTATTGTGTATATTAATTATGAGTTGTTGTCTGTTGATAGAAATTTTTAATCAAATTAAGGCATGTTGAAGGAGTGGAATGTGTACAGAGTCAAATATCTTGCTCATGTTCTGAGCCAAGAACCACATTTTTTTGTTTTGTGTTTGTACTTCTTGTAGTATATTGGTAAGGAATTGTATAAGTTGTGTTGTAGAAAAATAAGGCAAAGCAATAAAGTTGTGTGGATCTAAAATAAAATATTTAGACATTATTTTGCTAAGTTAGTTAGTAATAATTTTTGTAAAGATTTTTTAAGTATGTTCAAGAAGTGTTATAGGTCTGGCATAATTGAGTTGACCTGTAAAGTTTGGTTGTTTTGATATAGGATATATTTTGCTTTGTTTCCAAGCAGTAGAAATGTTTGCAATGTTTAAGCATAAGTTGAATAAAATTGTTAAGAGTTTAGTAATATGAGGATAAGTATGCTTGAGCATTTCATTAGAGATAAGTGTAAGTTCAGATGCTTTACTGTTAGATAAAGCATTTATTGTGTTGATTATTTCTTGTTGAGTTATTCGATCTGTTAATGTATTATTTCATGCTAGGAGTATATTTGTTTTGAGATTGTATTCATTTTTCTATTGTTCTCAAAGAGTTGGTTGTATGGATTGTGTTTGGTCCAGTTTGTGAAATGATCTTTGATGTATTGATGGATCTCTTGTATTTTAGTTATTATAGAGTTGGAAAGTTTTATATTGTCAAATAGTACAGTGTCAGTATGTTTATTAAGTATACTGTTAATCATTATTGTAGTATTTGATGTAAAGTTGTTGTAGCATTTTTCAATCTGTTAGGTAATGTGTTAATATAGTACATGTTTGTTTTCACTTTCCCAAATATGGTATAATGTTTTACAATACTCTTTTATTTTATTAATAGTGTTGAAAAGTTGGCTATTATCAATGTCCAATAGGGTAAGAGGTATAATAGATATGTTAGTAAGTGATTGAATTGTTTGTATTTTTTGGTTTAAATTATTTAGTTGTGTAGTATTTGTTTCATTATCATTATTGATATCAGTGTGAAGATTAACAAGAGTATAAAGTATGCTGCTATAGGTGTTTAGTGCTATATAAGTTTTTGAAACAGTAGGTAAGAAGTTTTAAAATTGTTTTTGTGAATGGAAGGTAAAGAGAATATGTGTGTTAGCTGCAGTAAGTACTGCATATTGGATCTGATGCCAAAGTTGATTAATGGTTAGTATAGATGCTATTGTTTCTGTAATTAAATATGATAGTTGATAACTTGTTAGTTAAAACTGTTCCCAAAGTTCATTTGTCATGGTATCATATTTGAATGCCTTGTATTTGTATTTTTTGTGTTGTTTGGTTGGTTTAGTATGTATTTGAAGGTTAGTACAGATAATGTAATAGTTGTTGTCAGTAATGCTAGTTGCATGGGTAATAGTAGGTATTGTGAATATGTGTAGGATTTGTTGTGGAACCCAGATTTCATCAATTTGACTAGAAAGCTGATTATATTGCCAAGTAGGAGTTTGTGGGTAATAAGTATGTATTAGTAAAGTAACATTATATAATATAAGATATTTGTATAGTGTAGAACACTGTGGTCTATTAAGATCTTGGTTAAAGTCTTCTATGATTACTGGAATAATATTAAGTTGTTGTGCTTGTGTAATCCAAAGGATAATTTGGTTTTGTGTTTGTTTGTTTATATTAAAGTCATTAGATAAATATGTAGAGATAATACAAAAGTTGTTTTTATATGGTAGATAAAGATCAATTGCTATAGCAGTGCCTTGAAGAGTTTGGATATTATGAATATAAGTTGTAAGTAATTGGCTTTAAG